AAGAGAGAGAGAGAGAGAGAGAGAGAGAGAGAGAGAGAGAGAGAGAGAGAGAGAAGGAAAGAGGGCGGAGGATAAAGAAGAGAAAGCGCAACACAATCCTTAGCGCATGAAAAATACTGGAATTCAAAAAAATATGAGTGACGAACATGGATTCCAGTCACGGACGTCCCGACGTGTTTCGGCTGCGTCCGTGAGCAGCCATCATCAGGGGACTTCGAAGTGCGCTAAGGAACAGACTACCTCCCAAGCCTTAAATACTCGAACTTTAGCGTAGTTGATCCCACCATCGCAGCTGAAACCTTCACATAGTGTCCTTCGTATGGTAGCCAGTGGCTCCAAGAGACCTGCTGCCGCAATCTGAGTAACTTCTGAATCTAGCCAAAGGGGAGAGAAACAGGAGAAACGTCGGAAGCATAGAAGTTGAGAAATCGCGTGGGAGGAGGCGGGAGGGGAACGGAGAGAAAGCACACGGTACGCAGTGGGTAGTCAGAAGAAGGCGAAACCGGACAAAGAAAGATGGCGGAGCGCCGATGTAGGAGGCAGAACGGGATACCAGAGATGTAGTCAGATCCGTGATGAATCAGCTGGAGAGAGATGCTGATTGAGTCGCGTAGGAAAGCCGTAGCGGATGTTCTGGAGAGCGGCGCGGTATGCTGAGCAGGTGTATAGAGCCAAATGAGATGCCAAGATTATCATGCTAAAGGACTGCGGGATGAGACAAACAGGAGCAGAATGAGGGAAGATGCGGAGTGTCACGTACTGATGACGTAGATAGGACTCATTTAAAAAAAGCGGGAAAAGCAAAAGAAGAGGGGCGGGAGAAGCTACAGAAAAAAGGAGCGGGAGGAGTCCGTGGAGGAGGCACATATGGGCGGCCAGAAACAGATGGAAAGGTGGGGCTGGAAATAAATTACGGGGGTCTGAAGCCGATGGGATGCTGAATCTTGGGGCGTCGTCGATACTCGGTACCCAGGCCAATATCAAACAGTCTGACCCATAAATCCCAGCACCCTCTTTTTACTGAGGAAAAATTCCTGAGGGTGTTGTCGAAAATCCTAGTTGGGAACCCTTTGAGACGAAATTCCTTCCTCAAAGCTAGCAGCACCACTCCAACTCCTCTATTGTCTGAGGAGTGGGATAATATTCTGCTGAGATGGCCCTTCGCCACACCTTTCTTTTGGTTGATTGGCCCGTATGAAGATTAGTCTTGTGTAGACAAAATTTGAATGGGTGAGTCACTCCAAATACAACCCTGATGCTTGGTGATGGCCGTACATCGAACTGAAGGAGGCAGCGAAGAGCAGTTTATATTGCAGCCCAAAAAATCCAAACATCCTTTGCGATCATCGGTCCTTACCAGGGATAACTGGTTGTCGTATGACTGCTCAAATTTTCGCAGGATATCAGCAGACTTCTTATTCGATACCGGATTATTTCTCGGTAAGAGGATAAATACGCTTACATCGTCTACTAATCGAATACCAGTAATAAATTGGGCGTCAGTTCCCAGAGAGTGAAGAAAGTTAATTTCATTAAAGGAACAAAGAAGGCACGCCAAAGCGGGGCTAGAACTTTTTCCCATGGGAATACCAATCGTCTGTTGGATAATAAACGTAGAGACACACGAGTAGGTATTGAGAAGATCAAAGGTTACGAAATCGAAGATCTGTTTAGGTTTTATAGAAACCCATCCACTCACCCCATTCCCTTTGCTCAGTGAGACTTCCTTTCCTTGCCTGTTGACCCTGACACATCGTACACCCATACCCAAGTAGAAGTAGCAAATCCAATTCAGCGCTCTCAGAATAGACCCATGGGGTAGTTTAGTGAACATCTCTTTTAGGTTATAGCTAGCAGATATCATTATTCCATTCTTCCTTTTTTCGGATTGTCTATCAAGTGTCAAAATTCTTTCTTTGAGCTGATTGGTGGATTTCAAATTGAAGTTGGAAGCACGAGGAAGGTTCCAGAGTAGAAAGTTGATTGCTCTAGACACCACTTTGCAGACCCGTATGCTAGGTTGAGAGAAGGAGGGGGAGATAGGTCGCCATCGAGAAATATCCTTATGCTTGGGAATGCCGTAGCAGCGCCCTATGTAGTGAGAGTGGCCGCCGACCGGATACTAAGAGACTAACAAGATACTTGAATGGCCGATGCCATTCAGATCTGTTAGTGAGGCTAGAAGCTTCCTGGGGACGTGTGGGTTCTGGCGAGCCTTTATCAGAGACTTCGCAGGGAAAATTGAGCAGTTTCGGAAGCTTGTGTACCAGGATCAGGAATGGGAGTGGGATGCGAAGCAAGAAATAGTAGTAGATGAACTAAAGGAGGAATTTAGAGATGGAGGTTTGGTGCTCGGCGTACCCGATTTTGAAACAACTCTTACTCGTCCTTTCATTGTGGAGACGGATGCAGGGCCAACAGCTTTGGGAGGTGTGCTCATATAGGCTGGCGTCAATGGCGAGGAGAGGCCGCTGAGATTCGATAGCCGGACTCTGATTAACGCCGAAAGAAACTATTCACAGTTCAAGCGTGAGATGCTTGCGGTCCTCCACTGCCTGAGGATATTTCGCAATTACCTCTTTGGCAGGAGATTCATATTGAGAGTGGATCCGACTGCATTGGCAGGATCATTGAAAAATTATGCCCCGTCAGACCCTACTATCGCTAGGTGGCTCACATACATATGGATGTTTGATTTTGAGTTGGAGCGCATTCCAKGGGATAGAAATCGGGYTGACGGSCTAAGCCGCATAGACTGGGATAAGAGTGAAGGAGAGGCCAAGGAGGGCACGCCTCCAGTTGATGCATTCCTCGATGAAGAAGAGGATGTAAGGCTCCATATTAATGCATGTGCGGTTGGAGTAAGTGAAGTAGTAAGACAACGGGAATCGACTTTTCTTGCGCCAGCAGGCTGTGTGAAGCGGCCAGAGATAGTCCTCAAAACTTTTGAGGAGGAACTTCAAGATCCATGGAGAGGTAAAGATGTGGAATGGATGAAAAAACTCGCTCTGGCAGGAACATATCAACTATCTGAAGAGCGATTGACTATTGAAGAAGGGATTCATGCGATTGAGGCGCATGCTATGCATGAGGCGGATGTCAATTTCCTTGTTAATTCAATACTGCAAGTGCAGGAGGGTGTGAGTAGAAGTCAGGATCCTGTAAAGGATATGGAAGAGGACAAGTTTGAGGAAGGAGAAATAACAGAAGCGTTTCGTGCAGAGGAATATGATGGCATGTATCGGGAATTGGGGTGGCTTCTCTCGTGTGAGATCAGGGAGAGAGAGGCTTCCCTAAGGGTGCATGAGATGCGGCCGCGATTTGTAGTGCGTGACATACACCTCTTTATAAAAAACGAGGCTGGAAATCCAAGGCGAGTGATTTGAGGGAGACATCTCCAGATCGATGTGATAGCAGCACTGCACAATGGACCTGCTGGAGGCCATAGAGCTTTTGCGCTTACTTATGCTAAGGCGCGCGAGCTTTACTACTAGGAAGGTATGAGCGAGATGATTCGTAAGTATTGCGAGTCGTGTGTTTCATGCCAGATCAGAGCCTCAACGAAGTATAAGGATCCTCTATATCCGAGGATTGTGCGAGATGCGGGGGCAGTGGTCCACTTGGACCTACTGGCCATGCCACCGGGAGTGGGAGGCTATAATTACATTTTCGACGCTCGCGATAATCTCACAGGTTTTGTGGATGGGAGGGCAATCCGCAATAAGACAGGTGAGACTCTGGCTATATGCATCATGGAATACTTTCTCAGATATCCCTTTATCATAGAGTTTGTGATGGACAGAGGTTCCGAGTTCACCTGTGGAGAGGTAAAGGACTTGCTGCGGGGATATGGTATGAAGGCAAGCTATACGACGATGGCTCATCCACAGGCGAATGCTCCGGTGGAGAGGGGACATACCACCCTTACAAACTTATTGGCAAAGTGGACGGATGGTAAAGAAAACCAGTGGCCTAAGCATCTGCGCGCAGCCTTCTTCGTGAAAAATATTACAATCAAGAGGTCCACGAAGTATGCCCCAGCAACTTTATGGTATGGAAGGCACGCTACGCTTCCTATAGAGAGCTTTCTGACGACATGGAGGCGGCAGGATATGAAAACCAACTTGACCTTCGAAGAATTGCTAGATCTGCGGGCAAGGCAGGTTGGCATTGCGGAAGAAAGAATTCAAGAAGTTGCGGATGGAGTGATGGACACCCATATGATGGACAAGGAGAGGTGGGACCGCCTTCCACGAGTCAGAAAGGAGCCACTCGAAGTGGGAGACGTAGTGTTGTTGTATGACTCGTCTCTGGAGAAACAATGGTCGTGTAAATTGGACAAGCGATGGTTAGGTCCTTACCGTATTCGACGGTGTGGGCAGCATAGGGCGTATGAGATCGAAGAGCTAGATGGCACRCCATGGAGTGATTGSGTTTCGGGTTCGAAGCTGAAAAAGTTTGTGGCGCGGGATTGAGGTGTGTTGGAAAGTGTCTTAGATGAGTTTTCTTATGATTTGGTTGAGTCCATRACGTGGTAGGGTGGCATATTAGTTTAGTTTGGACTAGGTCTTGGTTTCAGAGTCTTAGGTTTTAGTGAGTAGGTCAGATATATAAGGGTCTATCTATACTCATTCTATTTTGCTCCTGTCATCCATCCTTATGTGTGCAGGGACAACTTTTCGAAGTTGGCCATAGCCAGTGAGGCGAGAGGATGGCGGGACATGGAGAGCAGCGGACAGCCGCTTCAGCGATCCTGGATCCATTTTGCTACTATGGTGGACATGTTTTTCCATTTCTGGATAGATTGGTTAGACAGGCTTGGGCCCTCATATTAGATTTATCCCAGTTGATGGAGCGAGTTAGGGGTACAGGTAGGTATGTGGAATGCGTGGCTCGGATTACGAGAGACTCTTTGGATTGGCGTCAGTTCGCCAGGAGGATGCTGAGGTTGAGACCCCAGCCTTTGGATCGACGGGGTAGGCCTATGCGTTTCGACGGGGCTAACCTGGACGAGTTTCTTGAGAGTTTTGCCATCTTAGCCAGTGAGCAGAGATGGACTGAGGTGCAGGGTATCCGACAGATTCGGCATTGGGTAATTCCCGAGCTCAGACACAAGGTGAGTGCGTTGATACCCTCCATATTGTCCTGGAGGGGGCTTGAGGCAACACTTAGAGGAGCGTTTCCAGCTAGTAGGAGGCGCAGTTTGTATAGGGGAGATCGGGTTTATATCCCAGAGCTCAGGATATGGGTTGGGGAGCGACAGCGGGATCGGAGGCAGGGAGGAGAAGAGCAACATGATATCCCGCGTGTGCATCATATGGAGAGAGGAGCGGATTATGGTGAGACAGTTGTAGAGGCTGCTCATGAGGAGAGAGCCAGTGTCGTTGAGAGGTCAGCTGAGGCTACGGCCGGAGGAGAGGAGGCTATATTACCTACGAGTGAGTGGCATGACGGCTCACCAGAGCCGAGTGTGGAGGTAGTGCGAGAGCTCGAGGCAGAGAGAGCTGGTCAGGAGAAGACTCAGAGAGTCGAGGAGATTGCTCAGCCAGATGAGACGGCGATGGCCCCAGACATAGGAGTGGATACGTTGGGAGGTTCGCTACCTCAGCAGGAGAGTGTGTCCCGAGCATCGTCAGGAGATAGGGGAGATCGACCGCTGAGGTGGAGAGACACCCATGGTGTGATAGATGGGCTGCTTGTGATTGAGGTGCGGTCTACGGATGAGCCGGCCACTACATCAGTAGGGCAAGTGCAGCAGGGGGAGGTTGAGACATTGCTATCGCTAGGGGAGCTGTCTGCGTTGGAGGAGGCTCAGACGGGTGAGGAGGCGCAGAGATCTGAGGATTCCCTGACTACCCTACTATATACTGTTGAGTCCCCTAGCCTGTTGATGCGGCAGGAAGAGTCCCAATTGCCGGACAGAGAGAGAGAGACGCAGCGTATAGAAGATGAGGTGCTGAGGATAGACCCGGGGGCCCACATGGATGATCTCCACGCAGACGGCTTGGTGTCGTCACCGCTAGTCTTCGATGAGACTCCTCGTCGAAATGACGGGAGAGAGAGAGGCAGTATGGGTGCTCATGCCGAGAAAGATATGAGGTCTACTCAGGATGAGCCGGAGACACAGAGAGGGGACCCCTCAACTGAGACACAGAGGGTAGAGGAGCGCGAGCAGGCTGGTGGAGACACATGGTTAGCTGAGGAGATGAGGAGGATGCCGCCATTACGTTTCCCTAGCTGGGAGGCTTTTGAGCAGGTAGGCCAGGCTGCTAGGCCAGTTTTATCTGAGGATCAGAGGATTGGAGGACTTAGAGTGGTCCATGATGACCTCACACTGCAGAGGGACTACATCGCCAGAGGCCTTACTGCAGCACGCCAGGCGACTGAGGATGTGAGAGACTATGCTCGGAGATTCGCTACTAGGTCCTTTGAGTTGTGCAGTGAATGACGGGAGGAGCACGAGGCTTTGGGAGCATTGGTGGAGGACATCCGTTCCCTGGTAGAGAGGAAAAAAGTTCAGACTTTAGAGGAGGCTGAGGCGGTGTTGCGCATCCAAGCAAGGGAGGCGAATGACTGGAGGGCACAGGTACAGAGGGTGCTTACAGAGTATGAGCTTCCCGCAAACGCATCAGATAGGGATCGTTTGGAGCGCAGAGTCGTCCTCGAGACAGTGCGTGCATCTCAGTTGGAGAGCCAGGTATCGACCCTGGTCAGGCTGAGGAGAGAGACGGAGGAGCGTACGATGCAGCTGTTCTATGAGGATGCTGCGACAGCCGGATGGCAGAAAGAGGTTAGACTGCGACGACAGACGGGAGCAGAGCCCATGCCGGCAGAGGAGCGAGAGAAGGCAGAGGCCGGACTCCAGGCGAGGTTGTTATCCGACGCATTTATGAGAGAGTTCGCGGAGGTCATGCAGCATGTCAGGCGTTTGTCTCGATCTGAGGTCGAGCGGGGTGAGACGCTGCAGGACGTAGTGCGGAGGATGGACGCGTTGGAGAGAGAGAACAGGGGGTTGAGAGATACAGTTCAGGGCCTCAGCCTGAGCATGGAGAGTTTGAGGCGACTGACCCTGCGCGTCGAGCAGAGGGTTATGAGTTTGGAGCAGGGGCAGAGGACTCACGTGCCGACAGGGCCGGTTGGTGAGAGAGCTTCAGGGCGATCATATTCTACCATAGAGCGGACGCGAGTTTTTTGGGAGACGGAGCCATGGACCTTGGGTTTGGGAGTCACCAGACAGGACAGTTGGGGAGTTAGACCGACATCAGAGGGAGAGACTAGCACTGTGGACAAGTTTATGCTTGCCACAGGTGAGGTAGCACCCGTGGGACAGGGACAGGTGCGTACTATGAGCCAGACTCCCCCTCTAGAGTTGGGAGTACGAGAGGGAGTTGTGGAGCCCCGAGATGGTATACTTCCAGACGGCGCGCATGATCCACACGTGATACCGATCGAGACCTTGCCCACCGCCGCATCTCAGAGCCCTGACGTGATGGAGGAGGTGGCTCGTGGACTTGCTGAGAGGTCTGCCGCACATGATGGGAGGAAAACCACTGAACGATCGGCGAGGGTGTTGAGTCCTGATGTGGTGGACAGAGCTATACAGGAGGTGACTACCAGATTGGAGAGCGCTCAGACCTAGGCCTCACCCGCGCCCAAGAGGGCAAAGGTTGGGGAAGAGAGCGCGCGTGACAGATGTTCATGGTGAGGCAGGGGAGGACATCATAGGGGAGACTGCCCTGCTTTTCAGCATGATCTTGATAGAGGGATTGTGCAGTTTGACGCACAGGGACGCCTTAGGGACATGCACCACACCCGCATCCGACAGGGACGCCATGATATGAGGGTGGCAGTATATAGCAGCCTGGGTTTGACACTAAGGGAGGATGAGTGACGTCGGATTTTCCTCGACTTGGACTTCTGATCATGGGCATGAGGATTTGAGAGGGTGGTGCGATCTTGTTATGGGTTTTGTGGTATATGATGGTTACCTATGACATGTTTTTGGTTCAGTTGTGAGTTAGTCTGGGTTGCCTAGATAGAGATATATCCTGACAGTGTGCTATTTACGTGATAGGCCCTGGAGGAGGTGAGGATTTACAGTTCCTTGAGTCTATGATACGCCTAAGGACCAGACACAGACTAGTGTACACATGGGGGAGACTTCGTGTGGTTTGAGTAGTGAGAGTGTGAGCTTGTGATACGGTGAGTTGGTCGTATGAGAATCCAGGATGTGAGAGTGACTTGGGGGTCGGTCYTGACGACCAGAGACTATTCTCATGATTRGGAGTTTTTGTTTTTCTGTGAGAGGGTACGTTTGAGTGCATTTGAAATCTTTCTCTTTGAGTTGTTTCTCTCCTAAGACTCAGAGCGTGCTATGTTTGGGTTTGAATTTTTGAGGATTCTCAGGGAAACATTTGTTGATCCAGACTTTGGCACGAAGGATGTTTCATGTACATATATTTTCTATAGGTATTACGTATACGATACCACTTTCTTTGTCTATCTCTGATTGAGGATGTCTCACCTTTAAGTCTGAATCGTGATGTCAGGTCTCGTGTGGAACCAGGAAGCCAATAAACCTTTCTCACACCGAGTGTGAATCTTGCTCACTCTTGTGTTTATGGTCATTTTTGTAATTGGTTGTCAAATGCATTGAGATTGTTTGAGTAACGGATACGTTTATCTGCGCTTTGCTATGGAAAGGCTGAACCGGTATGGCGGCCTAAGAAATGTGTATATTGGGATGGGGACCCGTAGAGGAGTCACACATGAAGGTGTTTATTTGGATGGGGGCCCACAGAAGAGTCACCCATGTGTTTTGTGAGGCGGGGGCCCGGTGATGAGTGACCCACGTGATTTGAAGGAAGTTTGTTTGATGAGATCAAGTGAGACGCAATGAAAGGCTGTGGTGATTTCAGTTTGTTTTGCGGAAGACTGCCAAAGGATAACTAAGTTTATGAGATTATTTGTATATGTGGTGAGAAGCTCCCTCAACAAGCAGGGTAACTTGGTTGTGAGGCTCTAGGACCCGCAACCGTTTCTGTCATGATCAAACAGTGCGACTGCAAGCTAAGGGCCGGTCCTAGGGTATATGAGAGGCCTAAGCCGGGGGCTAATCCGGTATCATTGGGCTAACCCCAATGAAGGGCTGCTGTCCCGCGCAACCAGGACAGCGGACCTCTAGCCTAGCCTGAACTTGGAGCCTGGAAGTGTGACCCACACCTTGTCATCATTTTCTTCTATAATAAAGGGATTATTATTATTATTATTATTATTATTATTATTATTATTATTATTATTATTACTACTATTATCTATTATTATTACTGTTTACTATTATCATTATGGGTGGACTATATATTAAGCCAATTACGGGTTATTCCGAAGGACTCTGACTAGGGTGATGACTAGGGGGTACTTAGGTCCAAAGATAGGAGTCGCCTTAGCATTGCGAAAACAATGTAGGCAACATCGTAGCCTAAAGATGCGATGAACCGTGACTTGATCTGATCAGCCGAGACATGGTGAGCCTAGGGCAAGGCTATATCCTTACCTGTGACTGGACGTCGGGGAAAGGATGATTGTGATCTTAAGATTGTGAGGAGTGGGCTGAGTGCATCACTGAGACAGTTGTGAATAAGTGAGCTACTCAGTGGGGGTAGACCTTTGAGTGGTAAGGCTACCCAAGGGACTATGCTATTGAAATGAGATTCATTGCAGGATTGGGCTACCTGGGGGAGCACACTTTGAATTTGCTTAAGGTACTCAAGAGGGGTTGGCAGTCTGCATCAGTTTGTGCTGCAAAGTGGTCCCACTCGTGACCATTCGTCTTGCCCAAAGCTCAAGCCTGAAGATGAGAGTTGCTTGCAACTCGAATTCAGAAGGCACCCAACGAAAATCGGAAGGCGTCTAGGGCACGCGGAGGGGTAAGTGTTTGAATATTGGGGCTGACCAATAGCAGTAATACAAAGAAAGTATCTCTGTGAGTTAGACAGGAGATGCAGGTTGGAGTCCTGCCCGTCAGAGGGATGTCGCAAGACTAGAATGCTTGATCCAAAGCTGAGTCCTTCCGATTATACGGATTTGGTTATTCCTTTGGCCAGTCTATGTTGTTATTTGGGATTGGCATGTTTCTCCAAGTGCGACGGGAACGTCGCTTAATAGGGTGAGGGTGGACTGTCGTGGCAAACACCATTACAAGGGTCTTTGCCATTGTTTTGAAAGGTCGCGCTGGGTCCGACCTTGGCCACAGAAATGCGCCGATAGGACGAGTTCTGACGGTACTCGTGTCTTAGTAATTTGTTGAAGGGGATTTGATTAAAAGTATGCTGAGGTTAGAGAGTGTGTGGGCATACTCTTTTGAGTATGCGATTGTCGTAATTAGCGATTGCAGTCGGATTGACGGCCGACACAGAAACCGGCCCCTTTGGGCAAAGATTCAAGGCATAGGGGGATTAAACTTTGATAAGCAAGTGTCATATGCGCCTTATGTGCGGGCGTAGTAGTTGATTTTGTAAAACTGGCTGTTTTGTTACCAGTATTGAGAAAAGTTAGTTGAACTTTGTTGTCAAATCGATGGAGGCTCGGTGTAAAGTAGTGCCTGCAACGGTGACGAGTATTAGAGTAGGGGCCTTAGTACTACCGAGGCAGCTCATTGAGCCATCACTAGTAGGGGTTCCGCATACCAAGTGCGAAGATCGCGGCCTTGGGGCCAGCGGCGCGATCGAGTAGGGAAGAGGGCCTACTTGAATATGTATGGTAGGCCTACCTGGTAGCGGATACTACTTGAATGAAGTTCCATGCGCGATTGTGTCAGGTTTGGGCTTAGCCCTATTGGTTACAACATTCACCTTCACCAGGGAGATCCGAGGATCGAGGCTAGCAAGCGACGATAGAGTAGAGGAGCACAATTAGAAGAGACTGAGGGGTTGAGGGTCTTTAGGGACTATCCCCCTTGGTTTTGCCAAACGGGTCCAGCCGGGGTCTAACTCGCGAAACCAAGAGTGCGCCGACGGGACCTCGCCGTCGTCGGTTCTACTAATTTTATTTTTGATATGTTTTTACTTATATTTTTATTTTAATTTTTCCTGAAATCCCGTCTTGAACCAAGCCGGAAAACTGGCTCTGGGACCGACGGCGAAGGATAAAAGGAACCTTGAAAGAAAGAAAAGAACGCTTGAAATTGCCAAGCGATGAGCGGATGGAGAGAAGTCCCATACCTGGTCGAGGGCAGACGGCGACTTGGTCGCCGCCATCATTGGCCAGGACGCTGGGTGCTTGCCAGCATGGGTTGCTGTGACAGCATTGCATTGGGGAATGATAGGACCTTTCCCCCGCGGGTGGCCGTCACGGTAGCCGATGACCTTGAGTACGCGCCTCTTTTAGCAGTAACGTTCGGGGTCCTGCGTATTCGGGGTGCTGACAAAATTCCTCTATCCTACCCGTCTTGAAAGCACAGACCGAAGGGGCCAACGTGCAGGTGAGCCCGTGGGTGCAAAGCCGTCGAAGCAGCAGGATCCCGAGTCGCAGGGATCTCCTGCAGATGCACCGTCCGCTAGCCAGGATTTGCTGCTGGAAGGCTTGAGTATGAGCAGGCCCGTGGGACCCGAGAAATAGTGAACTGTGCCCGGGGAAGGCACAGTCTACCAGCCAAGATTTGCTGTAAAGAGGTTTGAGTGTGAACAGGTCTGCGGGATCAGTGCCACTGGGCCTCGCTCGGTTGGTACACCCGCAGACTGCTGGAAAACAAGTCTGTGGGATAAGTGCCACTGGGCCTAGCTCAGTTGGTACACCCATGAACTGTTGAAACCAGGCCTGTGGGACCAGCCCCATGGCAAGTTTCACTGGTACACCCGCAGACTGCTGAAAATAGGTTGTGGAAACAGCAGTTGCGGACCTAACTCAGCTAGTATACACCGCAGACTGCTGTGAGCAGGCCTGTGGAAACTGCTGCGGCGAGCCTAGCTCAGTGGTACCCCCCATGAACTGTTGAACAGGCGTGTGGGACAGGCAGCTGCGGACCCAGCTTAGTTCGTACACCCGCAAACTGCTGAAAATAGGCCTGTGGGATCAGTACCACGGCCTAGTTCAGCTGGTATACCCGTGAACTGTTGAAAACAGGGCTGTGAAACCAGCACCTGCAGAAATAGTTCAGCTGGTACACCCGCAGGCTGTTGAAAAACAGGCCTGTGGGACCAGCACCCGTAGGCCAAGCTCAAGTGGTATACCCACAAACTGCTGAGATACAGGCTGGGGTTCGAATCCAGGTACAGTCAGAAAAACAGACCAGAGCCTCGTGAGCTAGTCTGAAAAGTCCCGTGGTGGGACTGGGACTTGTTCCCCGGGACATCCGTTAAAAAAAAAAAAAAAAAAAAAAAAAAAGATAAAAGGAATACGGGGGAAAATTAGCTTGGCCCCGCTACTCGGTACTGCCTCGAGCAGCTTTCGAGTGAGACTATGTGTGGGGAACAGACCAGAAGCCTTGAGGAAGGCCAGCTTTTTAATCCAACTAGGCAGAAAAGGGGAAAAAGTTTTTTTCTGTCTTTTTGGTCGAAGAGTCTGCCGGATCAGCCGCTAGCAACACAGGGCTGGCTCGGGGAGATGGAAGACAACGAGAATGGCGGGAGTGAGGGAGTGCACATCTCGCACACCTCTTGACAAAGACAAGTGAGCGAAGGTGATCCGTGGAGGTTTCCAGGTAAGGCGAGACGAATGGTGAAGTCGAAAAGAGTGTTCAAACAGTAAGAA